TTTTTTTTTTTTTTTAAATCAAAAGCCAATTGAAACAACAGGATATATAGGCTGATAAATATTCAGGCTAAAGAGTATTTTAACATTTGTCTTCAACTTGATTTGTCTGTTTAACTGAAAAGAATTATAAGAGTTAACTGTTGCATTTTCTGACCTACTATCTTTAAAATTCCCATTGAGTTTCTTTGTGTTTACAAGGAAAGTATTGAACTTTTTCTCATCAAAACTACCTTTTTTTTTTTCACAAATAAATTATCAGGTTAAACTTGCACTTAACGTCTGCTCTGATTGCTTTTCGTTTTTTTGTTTGTTTTTGGTACATTGGGCAGACTGCAGATCAATTTTTTAAATAAATATAATTCTAATGTAGCTATCCCAGCATTCCCTTTATGTACCTATCTTAACCTCCTGCTTTTGTTTCCTATTCCTTTCCACACATACGCACATAATCCTTTACCTTTTGAAGGATGATAAAGATTGTCATGACATGAGGAACTCTCTTCCTCTCACATGTTCTGTCATTTGCTGCAATAAGGAAATTCTTATTTTGACCATCAATGCCTATTAGTTCTTCTAAAACGTGAAGAAAATAGTTTCAGTAGCAGTAGTACTGTCGGTAGGAAATACAGTTCAACTGCTGAGTTTCTACACCTCTTTGATTTACAGCTTGCTAATTAAATTGCTGTTATTAGTTTGTTTGACTTCATTAGACTTTAGAAAACAACGAACTGAGGTTTTTTTGCATGGTGAGAGAATTGTGTGTAACCAGTGATATGATTGTTTACCGAAGTAAGCCTGAACATTTTTAATTTAAAAACTTTACATGGTCTCTGCTTTAAGGGAATACAATAATGTTATACTATGACAAATGTACTTTATTCTTCTAACACAATAAGAATTACGTGGATCTTTTTCCTGAAATGAAGTGCAGGAAAGTCCTGTGTACCTTGGTTTAGTGATGGTTTTACTTCTAGTCAATTATTTGTATCTCAATTTTTTGTTAGTACCAAAAGAATCCATTATATGAACAGACTTTTAAAATAATTTCTCTGTATTATATATATGAAAAGGCTTTTATTGAACAGCTTATCTTCCACTTGCAAGTTGATGGAAATACCAGTATGTCAAAATAAATAAAAAGTGGGAGAATTCTTTGCTGTTAGTAAAATGTGCTTATTATTTTGAATGTTTTTCTTTTAACCGTATCTAATCAAAGTACCTCTGAACTGCAGGTACAGTATTCTAACTAAACATTTTGGTTAGTAATACCACTGATTTACAAACAAACAGTATTTATCTCTGCTTTCTGAGTGTAGAATGATGGGTTATCTTATCTGTTTAAACCTGTTTTGGGAGGTGTGTGGAGATCAAGTCTGTACATATGTGGTGTGTATATATGTTCATGCACCCAGACCTCTGTTTTTGGTTTTCTCATTTTGAGTTCTTAAAAGTATCCATATACTCTTTATTTGTAGAGGTAGCTGCTGTACAGTGAAGAAAAGGTAAGACTTTTGAACAGCTGATTCTTTGGGTGTTTTCTACATACTATTTCTTGAAAATTAAATCACAGACAGACTCTCATTTCTGGTTTCCGAAAGTAGGTAATTATTTCAGAGGAGTAAGAAAGACATGGCAAATAATATGCTCAGTAGGGTTTTAGGTAGTCAAATGCAACTGAGTAAAAATATTTTCATCTGGTTAGGAGTTCCCAATTGACATGGTATTGAACTAGTCAAAAAATGGACCTTTCTGAGTCAAGTTAGATTTTCCTTTGGAAAAAGGTATCTGTGAATGTTCAGTTCTTGCCAATGCAGATTTTACTTTCAGCTTTTAAATCAGTATCACTTCCTCTGCTTAATTTGTGTCACTTTGTTTATTTATCAGTCTAAAATTCTGCAGGGATGACTCTTTAAAATTCAAGACATAATAGTATAAATGGATTGTTAAAATAAGAGTTACTTTAAGTTGAAGATTCAAGCAAAATGCCATTTTCCCCTAGACTTTCATTTTATTAACGTTTTTTTCCCTTTAAGTTAGTATACACTACACATAATAAAATACAATAATATGACAATTGCGTGTCTGTGGATTTTATTTCTTGCTCCTCAGCTATCTCAGGACCATAATCCATTGACCAAGTGTTCTGGATACCAAGAGTGGATCTTGGATGATGTTGTGGCAGAGTAGTTTGTTTAGTTTAGTAGGAATGATAACAAGAGCTACCATTTATTGAGAACCTGTTATTTGCTCTTACCCAGCATTGTGGTAGGCCCCTTACATCCAATCCTCAAAACCACCACACAAAGCAGGCATTCTCATCTGTACTTCTTAAGTGAGGAAAACACTCATGGCCAAGTTCTTTAGTTTCAGTGTCACATACATGCTAAATGACAGGATTCAAATCCAGATCTAATTAAATTTCATAGTCTTTATGTTTGTTTAGGTGTAGAAAATTCATTTTAGAAATTGCATGTTATAAATAAACTTTATTTGAATTATTGATACATACTATATGCTTTAGGAGTAACAATTTTCAGGTATGTAGTTTGAATTTCTATTTTTTAATTTTAATCTGAAAAATTGAAAATAATTTTGTTTGCAGTTTGTGTGCTATTTAGGAAAAATGTCTCAAAAGCACAAATATTCAGTGGCTGGAGATGTCTAAATGCATGTGATTTGGTTGTGTTCTGCAAGTTTTTTTTCTAAACAGGCTGTTTTAAGCTCAGAACAATTTTTTTCATAGAATTAGCTTAAAAAGTCAAGTACCAAGCCAGCCTATAAAAACCAAGGGGTACCTAAACCTGTATTTCCCATTGTGTTGCATAAAACCCTCATACCACAAGATGTTGAATGAAAATGATTCCATGAGCAAATTAGCTTTACTCATGCTCTATACTTTATTCCTCTACCCCTGGGAGACATTTACACATTATGGTATTAAAAGGTCTGACAAGTCCTGCTTATAGGAATCTATTTATAATGAAACTTACTTTAACATTTTTTGAGCGTGTTTCGCCATAACCACTCCACCATGTCCATCAAGTAACATCCCAAGTAGAGCATTAGGCTAGGGTTTCTAATATATGAAAGTTGTACTTCCTCCTAA